CCCATATTACAAAAGCGCCGTCCCTGGGATTTGAACATGAGATCTTCCCATAACGTTTGGTGAGGGTGACAACTAGATCACTTCACTAAGTCACCACACCTATCTTATAATTATAATAAATTTAAAAGTATACTAGTTCTAGTACATTAAAATCTTACAAAAAATACATAATATAAAAAAAATTATCTTTTAATAATTTTATTATTAATATAAAAAAAAATTATATTAAACAATTTTTGAATATTTATCAAATTTTTGTATATAAAAAAAATTAAACTTTTTAATTTTTTAGATTTTTTATAAATTTTTAAAAATGTACTAGTTCTAGTACAAATTAGTAAATCCAATCCATTAATTTTAAATAATTAACATTAAAATTTAACTAATTTTAACTATCTTTTATTTTTATAAAATTTTTTATATAAACAAATATTTTTTAAAAGTAAGAGTTAGAATATAAAGTACAGTATATTAAGTTTGAATATAAATTATTTATATGCAAAATTAGGTGTTAAAACTTTTTTTAATAGCCTAAAGCTAGTTTTTGTAATAAAATTTTGCAATATTAATAATTTTTAAAAAATTCTTTATTTTGTTATACAAGATCCTGCAACCTAATTGGTAAATTGTTGGATAGTAAAATCACCAGAAAGCAAGTTAGCAACATTCTTAACATTATTATTGGTTAAAGTTAAAAAAAAATATCGAAAAATATAGATACACACCTTATATATTTGGAGTAATGCTAGCTGCGATAAGAGCCAGAGATAATTTTATTAGAGATAGATATGAGATGAATAAGAGTGATAGGAACTAAAACAATGAATATCCCAAAAAGATAGCAATAATAATTGCGCTAAGAGTCATCATAACAGACTAGATAGAAATTAAATAGGCGATCCTAGCCTAATTATTTAGCTAGTGGTTTCCTATTTACCGAAGCAGGCCGGCTGTTTGAACAGCAAATCATGTGATTACATTTGTAGAGGGATAAGGCGGGGCCGAAAAACTGATTTTGATGCTTGTGAGATAAAGTTGGTTAGAGTTGGGAGAAGCGTGTTTATATATAGTTTGGGTGGTATGTGTCTTTTTTGCTAGGACCTGTGTGGTAGTGGCCAATGGGTTGTCTGTGTAATATTAATTGGCTATCGGAGTAGCTTGTATTGCCCATATGTGGCGCTAGCTTGTAGATCGTATTGATTGGCTTATTGTGTTTCATGCAGGTGGTTAGTGCCCCGGTGCCTCGTATGATTTGGTTTGGATGCAGATCGTATTGATTGGCTAATTGTATTACATGCAGGTGGTTAGTGCTCTGGTGCCCTGTATAGTTCGGGTTGGATCAGTGCTTAGTCTGGTTTTTCGAACTGTTGACTTTTGTCAACATATACGAAAAACATAGACACATGCCTCATGTATTTGGAGTAATGCTGGCTGTGATAAGAGCCAGAGATAATTTTATTAGAGATAGATATGAGATGAATAAGAGTGATAGAAACTGAAACGATGAATATCCCGAAAAGATAGCAATAATAATTGTACTGGGAGTCTTGTAACAAACCAGATAGAAATTAAATAGACGATCCTAGCCTAATTATTTAGCCGGTGGTTTCCTGCCTGCCGAAGCAGGCCGGCTGTTCGAACGGCAAATCATGTGATTATTCCAAGAAGGTTTATTGATTATACCGTTTGTTGTCATTGCTCTTTTTTTTTTTTTTTTTAAAACCGTATACAGTATGCTTGGTTTATTCTTTAATTAATTATTTAATTAATTATTTTTTTTGTATGTGTTCATGTTCGTGATTGTGGTGTCGTGTGTCTGCTAGGTTTGTTTGATGTGATTTTTTTTTTTTTTTTTATAAATGTATGTCTGTATATATGTTTATGATATTATTATTTATCTATTCTATTTATTTATATATATATATATTTTTTTTCATCTGGTTGTTAAACTGATTGTAGTATATGTTTGTGTCTTTATTTGATAGGGTATTTGTGTTTGTTGTTTTTTTTTTTTTTTTGTATTTGTTGAGCATAATATGTCCTAGTCTTTTGTGCTGGCACCAATTATCCAGGATCTATTCCAAGTTGTTGAAGTAGGGTTAATTGGTATAAGCTTTGATTAGAATCAAAGCAATTGTAGCTGGGTGACTTCAGATGTACATATAAAAGGCATCTGAATTCCATCTACCAATTTTTTGAATTATTACTAGTTGTAAACCTCGGAATACTAATTCCGTGGTGCCTCCAGCATGGAAACTGTATCCCGCGACGTCTTCGTTGGGTAGGAGGTTTTTGAGCTTGTTTATAAACCACTGTTTGGATGCCCATAAGTTGTCTAGTTTTACAAATAGTATCGAATTATTTTTTGCATATGTAGGATGTGTGCGTAGTTGAGCGTAAAACTTGAGAGCGCATATAGGGCAGAGATCGTCATTGGTCGAGTTGATAATTAATGAGACTCGGTTTGCTGTCTTATGATTTTTTGTCCTTGCAAGTTGTATGGTTGTGAAGGTGTTGTTTCTAGTTTTTTCGAATTTTAAGGCTTGTTTGGTCAGAACTTTGGTACTGTTGGATTGGCTACTTGGAAGTAGTTCACTGAGACATGCCAGTCCATAAAATGCTGTGAGTGCAATGGCCCAGAACAAGACGTCTGTGGGGTTGTTCATGTTGAGTTTGTTTTTGATGCAGAATAGGTAAAAGTGGGTAATGTGAGTCTTCTGTTTTACTGGGTTATGAATATATATAGCATCGATGGTCTTTAAGAGCTGAATGATTAAAGGGTCATTTCGGACATGAGTCCAATCGTAGAGGTTTTTTGTATGGTGGTATTTAAGTGCAGAAAGGTATGTTGCAATAGTGGGTGGGGAAACATTCTTGTATAATAATGTTATATATTTGACTAGAGAATCTTTCAATATCAGCTAGATGGAACCGTCATGGTTGAACCATTTGTTGGATGTTGCTAAAGCTTCGTAGCGTTTGATAGTCGCTTTGTAGAATTTGTTGATAGGGATGGAGGTGTTGAGGATTGATGCGGCTATCTTGTCTAAAGTTTCTTGATTGGCAAAGATGTGTGAAGTAGTCATGTGGCTCGGTTGAGGTTGTGGTGTGGGAGCTGTGTTGGGGCCACCTATTGTTTGAGGGATGGAATTAGGGAAATTAAGTTTGTAAATTCGGGAGGTATATCAGGTTGGAGGTATCTAGTTAGTGGATTGTTGGCGATGTATTCACAATGCCTGTTTTGAGAAAGCAGGTCTGTGTTTTTGTTTTTTGTTTCAGGTATGTACTGGATTTTAATGGAGAAGTTTCTGTAGATTTGTTTTTTGTATATGTGAGTGATAATATCATTGATGTTTGGGTTTTTACAATAACTGGCATAGTATGATTCTGCATTGGCAAAATTATCGGTCCAAATAATGAGTTTTTTTTCCTCTTCCACATAGGTGCGAAGGTCTGTACTGTGATTAGTGTGGTTAGCAACTCATATATCTGTATGTTAATTGTTGTTAGGTTGATTGACTTGGCCCAGTTGAATACGGTAAAATAATTTTGATATGTTGCTCCTCCATCTATATTGGATGTGTTGGTGTATGCAGGTTGAAATCAAAAATATCTTCCCTATATCTTCAAATAATTGGCCTAGGTAATAGCAGGACAATATAGTGATAGCTATGAACCGATATGATAGTGTATAAAAAAAGCTAATATGTGGAAGATTAGGGTAAATTATGATGCATATACGGAAATTAACATTTGCATATCATTAAGATGATTTGTTTAT